CCTCCTCCTCCTCCTCCTCCTCCACAACCTCAACCATAGAGTTTGAAATAAACCACCTAATTGTGTCGTTTGCCGGTCAGCTTCTGAAAAGTAAGAATTAAAATATAGTTTGGAGAGGCACTCGGCTCATCCATACACAACGGGAAATTCTCAGACTTCGCATTGCGTTCACTCACTCATCATCATATACTGGATGAAGGACGAAAGCCTGTTATAGCTATTTCTCAGACCCGTGATGAGCTAGCATTTAGGTAGTCCGCGCCCAACATCATATTCGCTATCCCGAGTTATGTTACTAAGAAGATTCAACAAGATAACTGTCAGGGGTATAAATCGTTCGTTCTTTCGCTGTACTCCGGAGATCCCCGCTATTTCAAGAGATATTTCAATGGCTTCATTAGTCAGCATATCCAGTATTCGTTCACTCCCTTGTTGAATTGAGATGTGACCAGAGACTTTTGCCGATAAAGCACATTTGCAGCAGTCGCTTAAGTTAAGTAGTGACTTCGGTTTTCAGCCTGTTTGAAGCTGTAAGGTGCGGGGAAAATATGGCTCTAATTAGAGCATAGTTTGTGTTTACAAATGAATGTCAGTAAGTTATGAATTCTTAAATGGATTTAGGCCAACAGTAGCCTATGGCAATGTGACTGATTTGATTCCATCGATGGGAAGAGTAGGCAGGTTTACGTGTTACATAATATCTTTTTGTGTATGAAAAATCGGCGTTCTACAACAGAAATTCGTGGTCGATTCAATCAAGTACTTTATTCAACTGATGGGTGGAAAATAATTCATTGTTTGATCAGGCTGCTTTGACAGGAAAAAACAGTTAAAAAACCACGAAAATGGGTATGATATTCTGAACAAGACGAAATGTCAACAACCTACGTGAATTGGTTGACAGGAGATGTGGAGTCCGAGAATGCAAGGTTTCATTAATGTCACAACGGTGTCATGTAAGATGAAGAGTATAAAAGAGAGATGCTGTTGATGCATCGGTAAACGATAAGTACGACAATGAGATATGGGTTAACTGGGAACGAATCGGATAGTGCAAAAGTATTTAGGTAATATTTTGTTTTCATCAAACCATTGTTCTCTGAAAGTCCACAGCCTGACTACCAGAGTTTGCAGAGGCTCGAATGTATTACGTTGCTGATTTGGAAGTAGGGTAAAAAAAGATAAGTGTGGAAAAGGTGGGAACTCAGACAATAGTCTTTTCTACGAAGCCACCCTCATAATAAAAAGTGCATGTTTACTACAAAATGGACTAACTGTGCACAAAAGCCTTCGATTTGCTTAGATGTACCTTTTGAAGAACGTTTGACTCGGATAGACCTTCGAAGAGCAAAGTTTGGAAAATTACAGGGTACTGTGCGCCCAGTGACATAGAAGATAAACTGTGACCACACTTTAGGAATTTTAAAGATCAAGTCTGTAGACACTAGCCTATTGTGGGTGTTTGGGCAAATGCACACCCACGTATATAAGTTAGTGGTCACAGACTACGGGCGAGCCAGCAATGAGATAGCTGACAGTATTCAAAGTTGTTTCTTGTGTATATTTCCAGCCGATTGCGCACAGCATTTCTCAATAACTCATGTCAGATTTCTAGTTTGAGATCACTGTCCAATAAATGAGACGGATGGTTTCAGTGAACTGAAACTGTTTCATGACCATTGACCAGATCATCGACATACTTGCAATTGAAGTCGAATTTCATCCATTTTTTGCTCGCCTGGACAGGACGATTGAGTCGCGATACCAGGTCCTGTTTCTGCTAACCTGTATCGAGCCAATCCTCCATCCAGCTCATAGACGACTGTTGAATGGAATTCAGTCAAGATGTACCATCACGACGGCAGCTGCACCACGAGCCTCAGATACCCAATCACACAGCTCGCAGATATTGCAATTTTCAAATAAGGTGGAATGTGAAGAAACGTTACTTTCTATACCGCTTTGAATTCAGAAATCTTGCGTTCGTCAGGAAGAATGAAATGAACTGATAAAGCGTCTGGTTCATTACTAAAACTCAAATACAAAGTTGATACCATAGTTTTTCTACTTATTGTATACCGAAAATTAGCTTATTCGAAGCTGTATCAAAATATCCAAAATTCTAGAATGCTTTGCATTTGACTGCAATCTGGAGCAGAAAATTAACGCGGATCTTGAGTAACCACATATGTTGATTGCTCGAAGGCGATCTGTTAAAAAGTTGATTACGTCAGTTCGATTTTGCACTCCAACATTCCAAATGTGAAATACTTCTACATAATTGAGTGGGTCCAACTCCCAACTTCACTCCAAATGTAAAACCAGTTGAGAGTGGGTAGCTTTGATTACCTAGATAATGACATTTCCCTGATGGACAACTCTCAGATGATGTTGTGGAACGAATCACGAAGGTTTGGTTGTCGTTTGCCACTCTGATGCACCTTTAGCACGTATGTAGTATCTGACTCTTCGTGAAATGACGAGTATAGCCTGCAACAGTTCTGCCGATGCATCTCTATGCAGGATAGAGACTTGACAATCACGCAGGAAGATAAACACGGACTATTGTTCTTCGAACATCACTGTCTGCGTCGCACTACACAAGTCTGGCGGGACAATCAATGCCGAAGCCAGCGTAGAATAATAGATGGTCGCGGTCACACACTAACGTAATTGCTTGATCTCAGCAGATGACATCAGTCGGGCTACACTCCACCAAATGCGCTTCCTCGGCGTGCGGTTTGTGCTTGAATAGATATGTGCTTGTCGGCATCCACTTCCCATTATCGGTCTATCGGGTTTCGTCAGTTTCGTAGAAAGCGGGTTCCATGAATTCCACCTTTTCATTGTGTCCAATCAAACTGAAATCACTGTTCAAGTTGTTTGTAGCTTTTCAAAACTTGACCCAACTTGGGTGCTTGAAAAAGGCCAGTTAAAAAGTGGTTGTTGCAAGTCTAAACCAATGATTCAGACAGTAGTTTGTTAAAGTCCGCCATTCAGGGCTCATGAAAATGGAATTTTAATTGTTTCTATTTGCATTCTGTGGATTTATCGCGTATCAAAGTAATTTTAGTATCAAGTTGCAGCTATTCGAGTCGAGCCTGTTGGGTAGAGACATTATTCGTTTTTCCCATCGTTTTTGCATCTATTGCTACAGCGGCCGGGCATAATATTCAGGATCCAAATGCAAATGCTTTGGTCGGGGAGGGCTACAGGCAGTCCAAGTCCCCTAACATTGCAAATCAACCAGTTCCCTCATTTTCGTCTGAGATGCCAAGCGGTTCTCCGTTTGGTCCAGGCCTACAAAAACCGGGAACTACAATGTCACCCAGTGTGGCTTTCACTCAGCCATTGGATATTGTTCCACAATGGACTGCAAACGAATCTTCCACTTCGGGTAACGTTTTTATGTTTATTGTTTTATGAATGTAACAGTTCCAGTCAACGCCACAAATGCAACCGGCTGATACGTGGTGTTGAACATATACTGTACATACTGGTGCGGTTATAGATCCGTTCATGTGTAGCGTACTTCAGGTCAATACCACTAAGCACCACCGTTCGCGGAGTGAATGGTTTCATGTTCGGTTTGTACAACCATTAACCATGCGTTTTTGTTTGCTGTCGTTTGGCTGACCGTTTGGATGAAGGGGTGGAAGACAGATTGGAAAGTTTAAAGTAGAGTCGAAGAAAGAATGGAGAATTCCAATGGGTGAAGGTTACACAGAAATTGAGAAAGTGCTCGACACTCAGGTGTATCACTTAGTGTGGACAATTTTGTCATTCCCACTACTGCTGTATTAACTTGGTCAGGAAAATTTTCTTATTCATTGTTACTACCATTACCGAAAGCTCATCTGGTGTTTGCCACTATGTGGTTGGGATTTATTCAGTTGCCCTCTTCAATTCGACCAATTTCGCTTTATTGTTTAAATACCTGTCGCATGTCTGTCGGTGAGGTTGAAACTAGAAACAGAGTCCTCGGTTTGTCAGGGTCATCTAATAACATTCGAAAGCGAGTGATTCGTATTCCGGTGCTGTGTCTTAGAAGGGTATCCCGAATATGTTATCTATGGTAACCGATAATTTGAAAATATATATTCAAAGTATTTTCAAAATAGCTACAGACTGTACTGATCTCTGGAAAGAATAAGGTGTACACTGATTAGGTACAGATTGAAAGTTCATCAGAAAGCGTGTGTTTAGTAATCTGACCTGGAACATTTGATAGAGGTTAACTGGACATTTCCGTTATATAACGGGATGTGTTAGATGAAAGAATGGAACAGTTTGTTTGCTAGGATCATATTTTGTCACATACTTCCTTTGTTAAACTCGTTATCAGTGTAATTTTTAACCTTTTTTACGGGATTCTGTAAAACGCATGAATGTGAGTTACCACAAGCAACAACTTGAAAATATTTGTCGATGTAGTTGTTCTCAACTAATATAAGGTTATTCTAGCAGGTTACTGAATAATTAAACCGCTGAACTCAAACACTACTTATTTAAATACTGCAGACGTTCTTGGGATTGAGTGTTTCGTCTTTCTCAATTTTCCTACCCGACTGTAACCAGTGCAAAATATTTCGTCTTATGAATGATTCTTCCTTCACACCAGACTTGAAATCATCTGTCATTTCACTGTGGTCCTCTACCAATTTTTTTCTTGTCCCTCTGTGGTTGGTTGTCTTATCTGTGCTCATTCTTCCCACTTTCTTCCACCCGTTCTTGGCACAGATTTTTAGTTACACATTCCAAGTGTCACACGATCGAGTTTTATTTGTCCTTTTCCCCGGAACAGTTAGTTCATTGTTCTTTTCCGTGTCCAAAGTACACAATCAACAGCCGCTCATTTTAACTATTTTCTCATTTGCACCCCAAATTGATCGTGAGGTTTACTCATGTCACTCCTAATTGTTATGCAATAACGAAAACCATTATTGAAAATCCTGGTGGAAACAGGTAATCTTTGTATAAACTCTTTCACAGAGCGCCTAAATTGTTGCATTCATTCTCCAAGTTTTCCGATAAGGATAGTGGAAATATGACATGTCAAACCACAGCACTCGTGTTCTGTTTTAACCACCTATCCACGGATCTGATCTATAGTAAATAAGTGAGCCATCATTTTACAGAGTTTTTTTTGTTGGTCAT